ACTTTCTCAATATGTTCATCAAATGACAATTTGCTGTCAATTTCTACGCCTAATAAGGTAGCACAATCCACATTACTGAGCTGTTTTCCGTTTACGAAAACATCTATGTCACTTCCATTTATGTTAGCCACACATCTTTTCCCAGTGATCGTGAGTACTTTAGTCTTGTCTTCATTTAATGGGAGCTTATTCGCTGAAGCCCATAATTGAATTTCAGAGACAGACTTATTTAGCGATGAACTTAAGGTGGCTAAGTTTTTCACATCCGCAAAAGCGGTGACAGTCGCATCATCAGCGTAAAGGTCCAACTGAGCACTTGTATACAAGGGCAGATCGTTGATAAACAAAATGAAGAATAAAGCACCTAAAATACTGCCCTGAGGGACTCCATGCAACATCAAAGCTTCGCTTGACTCACTCCCACTCTGACTGCCTCATTTAACCCCTTCAGATTAAGTATAAGGCGATCGGATCCATCCTTCTTGGGGCGGAGAAATATGCTAGACAAAATTTGTCCAGGCATAGGTGATGTCTTTGTAATGACACCTTTCTCAACCAATTTATGCACCTCCTGATGAACGATGGGGTACTCACCCTCTGAAAAAGCTTGGTGTGGCAGTCTGTGTTGGACAGGGGTAGCAACACATTCTATACTCGCTCCCAAAACATCAGACAAGAGTACACTGTCACTAGTAAGGGTCCTCCAAGTTATGAAGTGAGTAGCCACCTGCCCTGCTTTGAATGAGTTGCATAAGTATTGCAAATACGTCAATAAGGTAGGTAGAAAAGGTTCAAACCCACTTACCTCATCCTTGATTTGAAACAGTTGGTCCATTACTTTTTCTCGTTGTTTGGTAATTTTTTCATTCTGTAGGACCGACTGTGGCTTTTCCATAAAAAATCCTTCTTGGAGCCTTTATTGTAACGGTCATGTTGGTTTGAACTGTGCTGTTTCTCGGATTTAGATGTGGATGCAACAGAATAACTGATTTTGCTCGCCTCCTTGGTATCTCGCAATTGCTTTACCAGGTCATCTCCAAAAAGGTACTGGCTACTGATGGGTACTTCAGAAGAACAAATGGCAGAGTATTCTGCTTTTAGTGATGGTTTTATTTCATCTCTTCACAACTGGGCGAGTTGTGTGTTTACATGCCCCAGCATTGCAATGGTGCCAACTTGTTGTGCCATGATTTTGTTATTTTCTGGAACAGAGGAATTATTAATCAATATGTTTGTTGTTTGCGAAGTTGCAAAGGTAGTTTTGCAGATAATTTGTTGTAAATTTGATATCTTCAGGTCTGTTTTCCTCTGTTTGACAGTTAACTGGTTTCATATCTCGGGATTTACTTTTATACCCTTATGTCAGAGCAGTTTTGAGGTTGTTTGTACTTTTCGACCACACTTTTAATTTTGCCAGAGGACAGTTTCTTGTCCCATTGTTTCTGAGCAACATCAGCCAACTCTGTCTGGATTTCATCGCCGCTGGCATCATCCTCGTGGTAACTGTTGGCAAAATCTTGAAAGAACTTTGTTTCCTTTGCGGTAGTTTCCCACTCTTTTTGGCTGGTGGCCATTGAATGCTCCAGACTAGGAGATTTGTTGGCGGTGCCGGCAACATGGGCCGTTGGTGTGGGATCTTCATCATGTTAGAAGGAAAACGACCAAACTGTGGAGAAAAACTGGTAAGTTACCGAAAATTGGAGCTTACCCTCTGTCCCTGGTAGTATACTGTGAAAAAAAAGCGATTATGTTGAAGATTTTCCTTGAAAAAACGCTGAATTCACTCACAATTGTACTTTCCAGCGAAAACCCAAAGCACACTGATCTGCAACGTGCATGCGCATCTCATGTGACTCTGTAGTGACGTAGACTGATGACAAGGTAGAATTGACGTCACTTATAGGGACACAGTCAGCTACGGGACCGTGCTGGCCTGGACACTACTTTTCCCAGTTTGAAAAATCTTTACCTCAATCCGAAATCAAATCTACGCATCTGATACATCTAGAAATCCGCTTCAATCCTACCTGGTGTTTCATTCAATCCTCGATCTTTTACTGAAAATCTTTTTTTGAGCAAACTTTTACTCATCTGATTACATTATTTTATCATATTTGGTTAAAAACAGTATTCAAAGGAACTTGAACAGAAGAAGTGATAAACATGTAGGCGCCGGGTGGGAGAAGTCGCCTTCATTTACCAAAATAACAAGAGAAATGAATCAGTAACATTGATGAGCAAATAATCGAAGTAATGGAAAAAAATAATCGAAAATGAAGCGTTCTCGACAGTGAACTTTCTACACAGTACAATCACTCAGACTTCGTGCAATTTCTCACCTCTACTGATGTCCGCATTCAGAAGTATTCGTCGATGTTTGGCTTCCCTGGAAAAGTCGATCGGTGAATCCTCAATGGTATATAAAAAATGAGTGCTTTGATGTGGCTTAGGGCCTATAATCACGATTTCAGCTTGTAACTAGTTTAACGCTACAAAGTTTGTTTAAAATATTCTGGACACGCTTTTGTTTCACGTGCGCATTGTGACATGCAAATCAGCTAAGAAATGGTATTTAATACGCATGTGCATCAGCTGACTGTGTCCCTTTAATGGATCCCGGTGACTACCATTTTTCTCAGCCGATGTTACTTAAGTTCTACACTGTTCTGACTTTGATGCACCGTTCTTGAAGGTTGCCGGATCAAAATCAAGCATTCAATCGATGGTGGGAAGTCACTGTGTTGTCCAGGATTGCAACAACCGCTTTAATCGAGCAGCTGGAATTGGCTTGCATAGTCCATATGTAAAGAACATGTCCCTAATGTGATACTTGAATTATCTGGAAAAATCCGCTGAAGTATGTAGGGAAAACTTTGAAAATTAGTCTCACATCCTGCGTCTTTAAGGACGCCGGCGAATCGTTGTCAACAACGGCGTCGACTTTGGCGCAACGCCGGCAAGTGCCCAGTTAAGCATGCGCAGTAAGCCTGTCACACAGTCCAATGGCATCGTCGTGCAAAAGTCGTCAATTCGTAAGCTCCCTAATGTCACAATGTCACCAGCACAACCTCTTTCTTACTCTTCTCTGCCCATCCAACAAGAACATTCAGCTACCCAACTTTCCTCATCAGCAAACCCAGAACATGCAGTCATTACATCATCACCAGAACAACCTCCATGCTCGACTCAGTTTACTTCACAACAGCCACTTTTTACTGCGCTGACTTTACGTGCCACAGATCCGAACTATCTTCTCCAGCAAACATTCATCACAAATCAACTCCTACTCACAGTTCTGAAAAACCAAACTACTATAATGAATACTCTAAATAATCTAACTAATACTCTAAATCTAATCTAACCGACGGCATAAATGGGAATGGGATTCAACAGTACCTTGGGGGTGGGTGATGGGGTTGGGGCAACGGTAGGGGACAACTTGATGTTTGCCGGGGGGGGGGGGGAAACAGCTGGTTCATGAAGGGGGTGGAAAAAAGGGAGGGGGAGGTTGTGGACCTTTGTTTAATTTTGAAAAAGGGGGGGGGGGGAAATTTTATTGCACCTGGGGGGACAGAGGGGACGGGAATTGAAAATGTTTGTGGGAAGAACCATGTTAGAAAACCAAACAAACTATAAAAATTACTCAAAAATTCTAAATTATTCCCATAATTCTATTCAACCGGCGGGAAAAAGGGGGATGGGGTTCCAAGGGTACTGGGGGGGGGGGGGGGGGGGTGGGGGAAAGGGTGGGGGACAATTTGTTTTTGGCGGGGGGGGGGGAAATAGCTTGTCTATTGCAGGGTGTGTCCAAAGGGATGAGGCAGCTAGTGAGCTTTCGTTTAATTTAGATAAAGGAGGGAGGTGCAAATTTAATGCACCTGAGGGGACCGATGGGAGCGGTAATGTAAATGTTATTGGGGGAATAGAAAGAGGATAATACGGGCTTAGAAACGATATGTACGGGACTGATTGATGCAATGGGCAGTGGTGGAGTATTGGGAAGGGACATTTTGATGGGTGGTATGGCTGTGCATGGAACTAGTGGGGTGGGATCAATGGGAAGGGATAGCGAAACCTTGGAGGGAACAGGAGAAGGTCCGGAGGTTGGGGTGGACCCCATTTCGAATTATACTTTTGACCAGCTGCATGGGATTGCTAAGTCCCAAAAGCATTTTTCTGTTCTGCTGGTCCGAAAACTGTTTACAAGGGAACAGCTTAATGGCCACAGTGTTTATAGGGGGGAGGAGTGGCAACTTGGGGTTGGACAATTTGTTATTGGAAAGGGTTAAAAGCATTATATTTGGGTTTTATCCATTGGATTCGGGGAACAGGCAGTGGAATTGTGTAATGGCCATAAATTCGTATTTGAGGGGGTTGGTTCGAAAGCAAAGATTGTGATGAATGGGGATGGCCTAGGCCTTGGCTGTTTGTGCTAGCATAATTTTTGGCATAATTGGAGCAAAAAAGCATGACTTTTTAAACGAGCACTGCCATGGCATAATTAGCACCACATTTTAGCACCTTTTGGAGCATAATTTCATAAAATTTAGTAAATATGGTTTATTTTCTACTGGAAAGTTTGCTATAGTTCGAGTAATTACTTGTAATATCAAACACAGAATACAACGTTTGGGCAAAACAGTTTATGGACTAGCAAAACGAGACGCTGGCAAAAGGGCCAATGAACAAAACCACCAAGGGTGGAGTGGGCGGTTAAGCGATGTCTTGCTCAAAGCTAACGTGGAACAATCTGAAAGCCGATACACTAAACCCGCGGAAGGCTGGCCCAAAAGGGGCGTATTCTCTATAGCAATTAGCAATCATCACTCGTGGTGATCCTTGTACAAGTTTAAATCAAGAGAGTACTATATTCTTTTGGTTCAGTCAGTCTATACAACTGTGATCGCTAAGTTGTTGAAGGTATGTGAGCAGCTAATTTGGACAGCTGAGGGCCGAGACAAACTGCAATAAAACCCAAATAAATTTACAACAACAGTTTACATGAATAACATCATAATTTGGTGTCGTTATTGCACTCCTATATGTACAGAATCTACGTCATTTTGTGAGCATAATTTCGGAAATCAGGAGCATAATTTGTCAAAATTTCGAGCACTGCTAGTAGGAGCACAATCCGTCAAGGCCTAGGATGGCCAGAGAAAATTGGAATGGGAGGGCACTGTCCGGGGGATAGGGAGGGGAAGGGGGTACATGAAGGGATGATGAGCAGGGAGGGGGCGAAATGAAGTGGGAAGGGGACAAAGGGGAAGGATAACTTAAACTGTACTTTGCGAAGGTTGCAGACACTGCTTTAAACAGACTGTGTTATGACAGCTTAGTTCATTTTGCGTAGCTTTGGCAATAACGAACTCTAATAGCTAACAGAGTAATTGAGTGGTCTCAGGAGAACAGAGTCCAACTAAACGCCGATAAGTGCAAAGAACTCAGGATCTCCTTTGCTAAAGAGCAAAGAGTCTTTGATCCCATCATCGTAGAAGGAAAGGAGGTAGAGTTAGTCACTAGAACAAAGCTAATAGGCCTTACAATAGCGAACAATCTAACATGGAACGACCATGTAACTGAAATAACCAAAAAGGCTAGCAAAAGACTCTATTTCCTAACTCAGTTAAAAAGAGCGGGAGTTCCGAAACAGGATCTAGCACTGTTCTACGTATCGTGCGTGAGATCTGTTATTGATTATGCAGCACCTGTCTTTTTCAACAGTCTCACCCAGTACTTAAAGAAAGAGCTGGTACGGCTCGAGAAAAGAGCAGTATCAATAATAACCTCAGGAAAGTGCAACTCGGCAATAGAGGTGGGGTTAACACCTGTTTTGGAGCATTATTACGTAGCAGGCTTTTTGATAACATTGTCAGTGATCCCAACCATAAATTGAAGGCACTCCTACCACCAGACTATGACAACTCACGCTATAACCTAAGATGACAGTGCCATTCTAATATGCCAAAGCTTTGTATGAACAGATCAAGTAATACTTTTATATATGCGATGTCGAAACAGTCCGGGCTGTAGTTTTATCCCACATATTCATGCTTTATATTTTACCATATTTTAATATGAATGTATTATATAGAATTTTTAATATTATCTTAAAAATCAGTTTTTGACTTATTATGTAGGATTCATTTTTAATTTTCAAGTATTGTAAAGTTTTTGTAAATAATTGCGTAATTTAGCCTTTGGCTGCGATGCAGTTTTAATAAACAAACTATCTATCGATCTATCTATATAAATCTTAATGTCAGAATAGTTATTATTTCTTAAGGAAAAATGTGTCTTCTCGACGGTAAAATTGTACGTTATAAGCACAGAGATACAGCCGGACATGTCACTCAAGTCCTATACATACTGGACGTGTACATTATATGTTGGCTAAATAGCGTGACACAGCTCCTTTATCGAGATAAAGACTCCGCATCTCGGAAAAGTGCACGTATTTACCGTGAAACCTTGATTATAGTTGGGTCCCTCTTAATACTTAAGAATTTGTTCATGCTTAGCGTGCATATATCAAGTTATGGATGCAAGCGGGAAGTTTGGAGAGCACATGAGATGCGTAAGAACTGCACTCGGCTATTGCCTCATGCAACTCTGGCTTCTTGAGTGCTCTCCAAACTTCCCAAAAGCATCCATAACTCGATATACGCACAGCTAAGAGCATAAGCAAATTCTTTTATAACATAGCTGACAAAAATGTTTGCTTTTTGATTAACTACAAAATTATCGTAACGCGACAAAATAACAAACGCTTCTATCAGTTCTATTAGCTGATTACAAACACGCCACAATGGTCTAGTTTGAATGAAATTTCTTTCTGTAAAACTGAGAAAGAAAATTTGCTTATTTATTCGCCTAAAGATCTTGTACAAGCAGAATCACTGACTTTATTTCGACTAAAATGAATATTGAGTAATACGATTGCTAATAGTTTTAATTATGATATACAAATGATGTTTTTTATTCTAGTTTTTAGGTTTTAGATTTTTCTCTCTGTATATAATATTTTAGATCCTAGATTTTTACCTTTTCATCTTCATTTTGGGGAATCTTTTATATAGGGTTGACCTCTAGATATCCCGTTTCAAGACTTATTTTGTAACTTTAGTTTTTATCTCTTGAACAAAGTATTGTATTGTATTTTTAGAAATACCATTATATTGAAATTTTTCATATCACGGAACACTGTATTTTAAAGCGTTTTTAGAAATAAAACTATTACAAGATTTTGTCATTGAAATTTTTTATATTATGGAATGCTGTATAAGCCTTTTTAGAAATACTATTATTATTAGATTTTGTCATCGAATTTGTTATTTTATGGAACGATGTTCTTTAAAGCTTTTTTAGAAATAATACTAATATAAGAATTTGTCATTTAATTTTTTTATATTATGGACCGTTAAATGAAACTGATTGAGCACACAGGAGGAGAATTATTTATGCCTTAAATTCTTCCTCGGACTGGTAGATTTCTATGTAAATGCTGCATTTTGAATTCTTTACCCTTTTAGATAGTATTTTAAGAGTTTGTCTTTTTAACTTTTTTTATGTTATGGACGATTGAGTATTACATAGAAAAACTTTTTGAACATATTTATGTCTTAACTTGTAAGCGTTTTATGACTTCAATAAATCTTAACTTTTATCACTTTTTTCTCTTACTGATGTTAAACATTTAGCGTTAAACAATTCAATATATCAGGAAGGAAAGAAAATAAAAAAAGAAAGCTTAAAGTACTTCAAAGGCAATGAGTTAGTTAAAATAGTCAATCCTTGTTGAAAACGGTCCGCTAAGGAATCAGGGTGTATCGGAGGGCATTTTACATACCTCCCTCCCCATCATTGGCTTTCACATGCGCGGTAGCCGTGTGGGCCTCATGGCTATATGCACAACTGAGCAGTTACACGATACAAACGCTAAGAACAATGTAAAAATTAACCCAAAAATCAATTTAAGCGATTTTGAAAAGATTTCTGCAAACGTGTTTGAGATTGAGTTGTTCTGCACATAAGCAGTGATTTTTTTTAATAATGGTTCACAACTCAATCAGGGTGTACTATTGAAGGCAGTTTACATCCCCGTTTTGTCTTTTGTATGTGCGGTAGCCTTGTGAACGTCGTGGTTGTATGCAACACTGACCTGCGAGACTTTGACATCTCAGAGTGCATTAAGAAAGCTAACAAGCCCCTTTATTTTATTGTTCTTCTAAAGCGCGCCAACGTTCCACTGAGCGACATTGTAAATTTTTACTGCACCGTGATAAGACCTGTTTTAGAGTACTGTGCACCAGTTTTCCATCATGCGCTTCCACAGTATCTTAGTGACGACATCGAACGAGTGCAAAAGAGAGCGCTCTCCATCATTTGTCCTTATGCGTCGTATTCAGAATGTTTGGTCAGGTTCGATTTAGTAACCTTGCACGCTAGACGCGTGGCTCTGTGTGGCAAGCTTTTTGAGTCTATCACGTCATGCCCGGATCACAAACTTGTCCCTGTCTTACCTCCTAAGAGAGAACACAGACATAATCTAAGACAGTCCAGGGCTTATGCCATGCTCCGTACACATACAAATCGTTTTAAGAACACTTTTATTCCAAGTATGTGTACATAATTTTTTTGGACTAGTTTGTACCTAGTTATATATAGAGAGTTTTTCGCATTTTTATAGAAATGTTTTTTGTTATAATTTCAATTAGTATTTATATTTTTGGAATTTATTTAATCTTAGTTTTAAGTACTTGTAACGCAATTCAGTCTACGGACTGCCATGTTCGATATTTTAATAAACTAAACTATCTATCTTTGCAAAATTTCCTATCGTCTGAATTGTCAAACAACACGATTCCAAGCAGCAATTTGGTTATTCCATCACGATCCGTCTCAAGTCAATAATCCGCCCCTTCCGATTTTGGAAAAAGATGTCAGTTATTCTGTTGCGGACTTGGGCTACCCCACAATTCAGAATTACTTCGAAACGTCGCACGCGAAAGGCCCGCAAGATCGCGCTGGCGCAAATCTTAAATCGAAAGCAGACATGACAGTGATCTGGAGGCAGCAAGTTATTCAAAATGCACATGATCTTTATAGTTTTGCGCAACGTAATATGCTGACTCCTGTTTCTGGCAGAAGTTTAAGTCGTAGAGTCTTCTTTTACATTGAAGCCTCCAATGGAAATAGGCCTCGCAAAAAAATAAATAAATTCTCAGTTTTACAAAAAGAAATTTCATTCAAACTAGACCATTGTGGCGTGTTTGTAATCAGCTAATAGAACTTATTTAAACTTAAAAAATAAAAGGAAATCGGGCAATTCACAGCATTCTTGCGCGAGGTCAGGGTGGACAACTTGAAGTGCAAGACTTGTCATGCTACTGTGACAACTGCATCCATGAAAACTATGAGCAGTGGGTAAATACTGCACATGTGAAGAAATGGGAAAGCCAGGTTTTAGAGGCAGAAAACACGAACTGGAGAGCAACTAGAAAAAGTACCTTAGTTTTATCTCCAAGAATTCAACAGTTGCAATTGTCTCAGGAGATGCATCTGATGATTACTACTTGCTGAAAGTTGTTTCTGAACAACCCCAAATCTTAAAAAATGCGGTTAAGGATGACTGGGGTGTGCGCTATCCAGCTGGGGCAAAGGTATTACGTGGTAACTTTTATGAACGATCGAACTGCTCATCAGTACCCCAAAATGTGCTTTTTAAATTGGTTTCTGGCAAAATCGCCTATGTATATGTGGCAACGGTCTGCTTTATGTTCGGATTTACACGAATGTTTTGTAGATGGTTCAAAGCTCTTTAAACTTTTCGAGTCAGAGCATCTTGACATTTTAGATTCACTTGATGGGTTTTAGTGTTTGGTATAGTGGTCAATCCCACCAAGTGACTGACTAAGATCCCTTGTTAGAAGTTTAGGGTGATAGGGCTGACGGCCACATTTCTACAGTAAGAATTCAAAACTTGCGAACGATTTCAAGTACATTTTTCTTAGTCATTTTGGTTGTGTCAGCTGGACAGAAATGTGTGAGAAAATTGTTTCCCGTAAATAAGTATAACGTACTGTGTTTTTAATCTGTAAATCAGTGTTTAAGCCTTGGCAGTAGAGACGGACCATTAGAAATCATTGGAAGGGGTGTAAGAAATAAATTTTGCGGCAATATTTTTAAAAGGCCAACTTGCTTGCTGGATTTTTTTTCTGAGGTTTCAGAAACTCACAACTGCCTACAGGATATTTGCACTTTTTTGGCCAATTTCCTTGGCAATATTGTTCACTCTCCCTTCGCCACCTCTCGTTATTTTTAATGGTCCGTCTCTTTGATAGACCTTCAAAGATAAATGATGTGTATATTTCTTCTACTCGCAAAAAAGTAAGAAAAACAGATAACTCTTTGAGTATCAGTGAAGTTTGACTACAGCCTAGCAATTTCATAGGTCTCCTGCACAGACGTTCTAGGGCCTGACCCCAAGGGGATGTGCCGCTGGACAGGGTATGGTTTTTGTCCTCTGTGTCCTAAACTGGGTATACAATTTCGTGCAAGTCTGTCTTAAACAATGTGCATGATTTGTGTTGGGCCCTAAACAGGGTACTAAAATTGAGGGTGTTGTCCTAAACAGGGTACGTATTTTAGGAATTTTTTGTCCTAAACAGGGTCAGGGTTTCAAACCCTCAGTGGGTCACCTATACCCAAATATTTGTCGAGTACCCCCCGCCCCCGCGCTCGATTTCGCTTTCCTGGTTCCCCAAATATAACAAACAAACTTACCATGCGTCCCTCTCTTGCTCCGCGGGACTCTTTTTTCTTCTTTTCATAAAAATTTTGCCAGTTTGCCTTCAAACATAAATTGTTGACAGGAAAGTTATTTAAGACAAACACAAGTTTGATTGAGTTATATACCGCTGTTTTAATAAAGGTTGTGGGAAAAAGTGCATGGACAATCCCGGAGGGTATTGTTAGAGGTCTTGAGTTCACTGTTCTCCAATGAAAGTGAGAGGCCATAATGTATTTTGGCGGGTGCTAAAGAAAAGCAACTAAATTAAAGTAGAATTTGCGTAACAAAGCACCACAAATCCCTTAGTTAGTTTTTGTGAACAAACCACTCAGACAGAATCTATTAAAGAATCCGTGTAATGGCTAAAAAATCGGCATGGCCACCAAATTTTTGGCAACATGGCTCGTTACCTGTGTCGAGACTTCCTCCGGGAGGTAGTCTCGGCACCCCTTAAATTTTGAGCACTGGTGCCACATTACATTTGGGACCGTTACGTTTGCACGTCAAAAATTGGGAGTGCCGTGCCTTAAAATCATCAGCACAGTGCCAAAAATTTGGCTTGCTGTGCCGATTTTTCAGTGCGTGTAAATAGGGTTTTAATTAGTAATCCAACACTGGATTCCAAGTGTTGGGAAAAATTGAAGAACAGCTCCCAAAAAATCTGTCAGCTGACTGTCAAACAACAGTCGGTCGGCCAACCTAAGTCATCTCAGTTCCAAAATCTCTAAAAAGCGCTTTCTATGTGAATTCCTTTTTTTCGGGCTTGAATAACGACAAAACCCACGTTTATATTGCTATCTCTCGGCTTTGGGCCTGTGTGTCTAACTGTAAATTAACTCTCGGATTCGGCTACATGATACTGATATGAGTTCCAGGGACTAAAACCACGGATGGTTCTTTCTTCTTTCACATGAATCGATGGTACCATACGAACGATTGGGTTGTCAAACGATAGAAACGATGGAAATGGACAAACAATAGCAGACGATAGAAACAATGTGAATGGTACAAACAAAATGATCCACACAATCAAATGAAAGACTTAAACGCTAAGCGAAACGCTTTGCATGATCACAGACCTCTTGTCTTAAAACTACCTACAAATTTTTCAACGTCATGCTTGAAACTCAGTTCTAACTATGGAAGCATCGACTGAAGGAAAAGAAAGAAACGTACATTTCGACTCCGTAAGGTATGTGCACCTTATTTTTGAAGACTTTTAAGCAATATCGTTCTTACAAGTGAAGACAATCGAGGAATTTAGGAACGCTTGGCTCGTATTTCTGCAGTAATTTTCAGTGCGTTTAATTAATTTACTTTTAATTGTAAACTTAAATGAGTTTTTGTTATTTTTCAAGCAGTAGTTAAACGTACAGGAGTTGTACTTTTCATTTATGATGTTAGATTGTCTCAGTTGCCTTTAAATTTACTGTTCTAGCCGAGTATTTAGCATCACATATTTATTTTGAAACGCCTTTGTACACCAACACCGTGCGCATGCCCTTAACAGATACTTAATCTAAAATTTTACAATTTTATAAGTAAGACGTCCATAAAGCTTGTAGGATTTTTTTGTTTTATTTTTTTTTGTGACACTTTTATCAAATTATTTTTACCCAGATTTTTTGGTGCAAATTATCCTGTAATTGTCACTACAAATTTTAGTCGATACTGTGGCTGGTTACGGTTTGCCGCCCAGTTAAAGCTTCTACTTTTTACTCTGGGCGCCCAGACATTTGTACTGCCATAATAATAACAATATTTTAACAAGGAGCCCACTTAGCCAAAAAGTGCTCTTCAGTGCGGCCCTGCATATACTCCAATTAATTTCAATTTAGGAAATTAGGCAATTTCAACTTCCAGCGGACAAAACCCCTGCACCAGAACAATGTAAAGCACATTGCATCCCCTTGCACACCTCTCAAGGGCTAAACATGCAATCAGTCATCCTCAACAACAGTAAAGAAAACCTCCCACAACATAAGTTTAGCACAACATAGGTCATTTGTTTAGCACACCACTCTCCTTTTTGACTCCTGTGCACTAAAGATCTGTCAAAATGAGCTAAAAATTGGTCTGAAGTACTGTTATTAGTTTTAGACATTGAAACTATGACAGTTTTAGCCCTTCCCTGCCATTTAATTTTTTATAACGATTTTTAAGGGAAAAAAGAAGTCATGGACTAATTATATTTAGTATATACTAAAACAGTGGATAGTGTTTTTTGCGCGCTCTGATTGGCTACTCAATCAGTGAATATCCTGCACTATTCACTGATTCACCTCCAGTTCCTCCGAGCCAGAGACACCAAACTCGCGTAAGTTGCAAAATGCCTTCCCAGTTTGCTGCCGTAACAAACAAAGAAATTTCACAACTAATCAAGCAGGCTGTTTCCGAAATACATGAAAAAAGTGACGAAGCTCGGGGTGGAAGTTTTCACAGGTAAAGCTTTGTCTTTTTGACTTGAATTTATCGATAAAACCGGCGAAAGAGTGTTGTTGTTTACAAATGCAAATTAAGTTTAAGTCTTGCATTACTTTTTTTAGTTGACTTGTTTATAAATAAGCTTAAAACTAAATCTAATAATCCTTTTTACAGAATGACTTTAAATACAAAAAGAATTCACAACTCCTTTTGAGGAAATTTCCCCGCAAGAGCTAAAAAAAAATGCCTTCAAAAGTTTTATTTGCCGGCAAGAAAAAGCGACAACAGCGGCCCTTCGGTCATTGCGCGCCAAAATTGTAATCATTGCAGGCAACAGTAAATGAGTTAAAAATCATCATTTTTGGGCTCGATTATCTCACTGTTTTAGTATATACATATAGTATATGTTATAGTTTACATATTTTGATTGTCGCATGCAACTGTCAGATGACCCATTAATTAAGCCCCAGTGGTGGGTTGACAACATAGAGCAGTCGTCCAGTTTTACTTCCCATAGTGCCCCTACGATAAGCCTCACAACCAATGCATCTCGGTGTATGTGAACACAAGCACCGGGAGTTCTTGATCGGCTCATGAAAGAGCTTTTCACATTAATTACCTATAACTCTTAGCAGTCTGCATGGGTCTGAAAACCTTTTTGGGCAGCAAAACACACACATCCAGTTGCTGATTGATAAAACAACTGCAATTGCAGTCTTAAATCACATGGGGACAAGCCACTTGGACCCTTGCACTTGGCTTGGCAAGGGATGGCTGCAATATTTGGATAAGTGCCACTCGCATCCCTGAGGTCCATAATGCCACAGCCAACTTAGAATCAAGAAAAACAAATTCGGGCACCAAGTGGATGATTGTTGGAAATTTGCTGCAGGGGGCTACTTCAAAAATAGATTTTCATCCTGATGTAGATCTGTTCCCCGGGCATTTGCCATTGATGCTTTTACACTGAACCTGTCCCATTTTCAATTCTATGCTTTTCCTCTGTTCAGTGTGATCTCTTCATTACTAAAAAAAATTCTGGAGGAAAATGCAACCACGATTTGCATACTCCTGGACTGGCCAATGCCGGGTACCCTAAAGCAATGCAACTGTGTGTCTCAACACCAATAAAACTGGGACGGCAAAAGAACCTCCTGATGCTTCCAAGGCAACCAACAATGCTACACCAGTCGCACAAGTCTCTAACCTTGCTAGTCTTCCACTTATTCAGGAGCAGCTGAAACATTCAGGTCTATCATCAGATGCTGCAAACATCTTTCTTTCCTCCTAGCAGAAATTACTGGGAAACAATATAATACTTATCTCTCTAGGTGGTTAACATGCTGTCAACAAAAACATCTGCACATGAGCCAGGCCACCATTTATGATGGTCTGGAATTTCTTATGTCTCTCTTCAGACAGGGTTTGGGATATAGTGCAATCAACACTGCCCGCTCCGCACTCTCTGCAATTATCACACTCAGCGATAAGACAATATTTTTGAGAGCACCTACCTGTCACCTGGTTTATGAAAGGCATCTTTGAACTTAAACCCTCTCTTTCCTGGTATACAGTCATTTGGGATGTAGGCATTGTACTGGCATTACAACAACTCACTAAGAAACTATGCTACTCGCACTTTACTTTACAACGAACCAGACAATTGCGAAACTAAACACACCTTTTATACAGGAACTACCAGACAAACTGGTGTTTATGATAAGAGATACATTCAAAACTAGTTGCCCTCGTAAAACACCAAGCTTTGCCCGGTGACTCACATAAAAGAATACCTCGTTCAGACCCAAGCGATCCACACCACTACCTATTTATTGATCAGCTACAAAAAAACCTCACAAAGCTGTCACCAATTCAAGCGTCACTAGGTGGGTAAAATCTATCCTTAAGGACGCTGGAATTGACATTGGTACGTTCTCCAATCAAGAATTATGACAAAAAGCAGAAGCTTGTACATCAATTTTTGGAAGAGTTTGTATTGAGTTTATACCCTAGAAAAAAATTGCTTAGATATCTTTCACTTTGCAGGCAAGTTGTCCTACGCCAACTGCTGAAGAAAGCAGTGTAAAGGAGTCTTTTGAGGAACATCTCAAAACAACCACAAGTGAAAAACTGAAGGATCTGTTAATTTTTGCAGCAGGAGCACCTTGTGTGCCAGATTTTGGTTTGGGAAAGATCAATGTTGAGTTCACTCATGACTCATCAATTTCTTCTTCCACATGCCTTAAAAAGGTCACCTTTTCCAGGAAATTCCAAGACAATGATACATCTCTGGCTGCAATTCATGCTGTTTGTGACAATGCTGGTAGGGCATTTACCAGCATATAAGATTTAAACAGACGATTTTCATGCCTGAAAGTGTTTGGGTTCAAATCCCGTGTTTACTTATTTTTGGGTTCAGCTGATCCAACAAAGGTTCTCTGATAAAAATTCCCACAAATTCATCTGCAATAACTGGGTTTGATTGCAAATTGATTATCAGAGACAAAAATAAATAAGTGATCAGTAAACTTACATATTTGCAGCTTTTCTATCCTGGCAATGCTGCAATACCACCTGAGCCCAATTAAACAAACCTTTTTAAACTGTAATTTACAAATCTAGCTGTTGCTTTTTTTGTTTGTGTTGTTGTTTTTTATAGTATCGCCCAATGACTAATTGGGTCAGGTTGGATCAGTTTCACTGGAAAAGTCATTGATGATGATTGACAGGTCTGAATTCCTTTAAACATCTGACTGTTTGTGTGCCTCCCTTTGTACACAAGTTACAGTAAGACATAGAAACAGTTTGTGGGCATCCGTTATTAGCCACAATACAGTTGTAACAGATTTGTTTGTCAAGTGATAATATAATAGACTGTAACCATAATATTCATGTATACCAGGACATTAGGCATTTGGAATTGTTACTACAACATGTTGCCACAAAATCCTATATAGTCAGATTTATATAACCATGAAAGGAAATTTACAGTTATCTTTACAACTAAGCCATAATTAAGTATTTCTTGACACTTAAATTCTTGCATGGCACGAATTCCTGTTCCCATATAACAAATTATTGGTGCTGTACCATACATATATGCAGTTTGGGTTTAGATGCTGACAAATTTTGTTCTTCTTAAAGTTAGTTAATGTTGTATTAGTAAAAACATTCATCATTGACTTCAAGAAACGCTTTTCAATGTCATGAGTGTGAAGCAATATTTTAGCACTGAACCTGATAATCTGCATTCGACAGCAATTTTAAATAACTTTTGCAAAATCGTTATTCTAGAATATCTTTGGGTTTTTCTAGCAACTATGAATTTAATTACTTGTTCAAAAATCATTTGCACTCATTATCTTTCTACTTATGGATGTTCTTAAAACAAAAAACAATTCTTGACTTCTTGTATCTGACTTTGTTTGCAGATTAAGGTCTTTGCTAAGGTTCAGTATTTCAGTGTTACAGTTAATGATACAGTTACCATTTTGCACAAGGAATTAAGCAGTAATTCCACTGCATATTGTAATAAGAATAATTTTTTTAAACTTATAATTTTGATATACTTTCATAAGAATTTCATATTATCATTGTTAAAAACAATAAATACAATTTTATTTTGCATCGATTCCCAGACCAAAACATATAGTGAAAGAAAACAACCAAACAAACCAAAACTACTTGAAAGCAAACGTTTCACGTTCCAAAGTGATAAATTTGCTCTTGTAGTAGTGATATAGAGACACAAAGTAAATTGCCCCTTTCTGTGCATTAATCATAGTAAAAATGGAAATGTACGAACTTGACAAAATAGATCTTAACAGTCTGTAATAAACATCAAATCTTTTAACAGTCACTTGACATGATAGCGTCTGCAAAGAAGGAATGTTGTCAGACCATTTCTACTTACATGAATTGCCAGCAATAACTGTATTTTTGTGTTCAAGGGTTTTAAGAGAAATATGTTTTCTTGTTATTGCGTTCGAGGTACAAGAATGCAACCCCTAATAAGGGATAGGGAACCTTTCAGAATTCCTGTTAGTAATGTCCTAAGAAAGTTGAAAAAAAGAACCACAAGACACAGGTTAAAATGTTGCATTGTAAGTAGTCTTCCTTGCACCTCTTTTATGAACCGTTTGTGTAAGAATTACAAGAATTGGTTCCTTTGGTATAACACTGAACATTACTATTTCAAATATGTGTCCTTCATGATGGTTTACAAGTGTAAATCAAGATCTCCGATTGGCTGCAGTTACAGAAATGTATATAGCTCAATAACAGCAACAAAATCAGTTGTTAGACATTGTGACATTTCTGACAATGGCTCAACATTGAGAGGAGGCATGCTTTCAAAAAATTCCAGTTGTAAGTCAGCTTGGGCTTGCTTAAATGATAGATTTGCAAGGTTAAGCTTAGTGGCATATGATGTTGGTGGGAATGGTGATTACTTTTTTAAGTCTGTTTCTCATCAACTCTACAAAACTGCAGAGTTGCACTTTAAAATTAGAAAAGGTGGAATTCAACACCTAAATAATCATCCAGAATATTTTATTGAAAGTATTTCAGATAATAACTGGCAAAGCTATATTTAGCAAATGTCAACTTCAGGTATATGGTGTGACAATATCATAATCCAGGCAGTGTCCTATGCATTTAACTGTATTATTCATATCACTGAGTCTGATATCAATAAACCAGATGGTACTGTTATCACTCCTGTTTTATGTCACAAGCAACCAAAGACAATATTTATTGGGTATATTAATGAGCTACACTATGTTTCTTCAAGTGCCAGACAAGACAGGTAAAAACAAAAGCAAATTAACATATCTAAAGAGAAAGCGATTAGAAACTGATGATCAAAAAGAGACAAGACTTGCCAAAAAGACTTGCCAATAGAAGAAAAGCTTATGAAACTGATGATCAAAAACAAACAAGACTTGCCAAAAGAAGAAAAGCTTATGAAAAAATGAAATCTTTAGAAACAGATGAGGAAAGGCAAAAACGACTAGCAAAGCAAAAACATAATATAAACCAAAAAAGAGCTCAAGAAAATGCACATGGCCCAATGAGAACTGCAGGGATAACTAACCAAGAATTGAAAACAAAATCAAAAGAAACACAAAATGTTACTAAACAAAATCTGCCAGAAAGTGGAAAGAAAAGTCAAGAGAGTCTTGAATCAATAATTGGCTACTGTGTAAACAAACAGTCGGATTCTTTCATACCAATTACCGAGGATAAACACATGTTTAACAACATTGACTGTTTTCATAACTTCAATGAGTACAAGATCAAACAGTGCATAGTGTGTCTTGAAGCATGGCCTATTAAGTCTTCCTCATGAGTCAAAAAGATTCTGAATACCAGTGTGTAAGATGCAACCGTGACAAAAAACACCCCCCAAATTTTTCAAAACAAAATTACATGGTTCCTTCTCCAGTACCTTCTCAACTTCAAGGACTCACCCAAATAGAAGAAATGCTCATTGCATGTGTGTGTCAGGAACTTTTTTGTTAATCTTGTTGTTTATCCAGACAGTAATTAATTCGCTGCAATTCAAGGTTGTTGAACCTTCAGTACTGTTTTGAGCCGGCAGTTTTTGCCATTTACACCCATCATCCCTTGCCGGATGAAAGGACCATGTGCTTTTGTAAGATCGCGTCATTGTGTTATTTTCGTCCGAGATTTTCGTTCAGGTTTATCTTAATTTACAAAGGACGGTGTCTATGTTCAGAACGGCAGAGAACGAACAACAACGTATGTATGAACAATGTGAAATTTAATTTCTCTTGCTACTTGCATTTTCAATGTTGTTGACTTCCCATCATTACAAGGCGCATTTTGTAATTTTGTCACCCAGGTTTTACCTACTAGTTCTCTACGAATAAAATGGAGTTGAAACGTCTGCTGTGTGTGGATCGATGCCGTTACAATGTGCACTTCCCATAATGCGAGTTTACATAAAACCAGGTGGACAGAGAGGTTATTCAGGCGACTGCATAAATTTGCCTCATCATGTACAGGAATTGGCTACCTCTTTGCTAAGATATCCAAAAGAATTATCACTTATTGTTATTAAGATGAAAGGCAAAGACAACACCTTTAAAGATGTACCAGTTAGGAGACATATGGTACAAAATGCTTTGACTTGGCTTATAAATAACAATCCACATTACCAAGAAGTACATCTCAACCAACAGTGTTTAGAGTCTTTGGCCGAAAATGGTATACCAAATGACCTAATTTCAATTGAAAGGGAAAATGATGTTAGGGAACCTTCTGACCTTAGTTTTGGCCCTCAGAATGAGGAAGAAATTGTTTATAATGAGGGAATACAAGTGAACACCTTTCTTCCAGTTCCTCAATGCCAGCAGCAAGAAATTGATGCTATTCAACAAAAGTTATCTAGCATTGATAATCAACACATTGCTTGGCCAACAGTAGATAATGAGCCAACGAATGAGTACCTTACTCCATTTCTAGCAACAATGGCTTTCCCAACATTATTTCCAGATGGGAAGGGTGATCTGACAAACCCATCTCTTAACCGTGATATGCAGTTTGACGAAAGAATCAAACACCTCCTAAAATATGCAGAAAAAGAAAATGGTACATGGTTGCACCGCTTCGCTTCCCACCCTAGGTTTGCTTACTGGGCTTTGAATATCATTCAACGAAAAAGAATATTACAGCAAACTGTTATTTTTTCGAAACAGAATCCAGGAGAGGCACATCTTACAACAGAAGACCTGCAACAAATAGCAGCTAATGCCAATAGTAGTCTTTTTCTTTCCAAGATATCACGCTATCTCAGAAACATAACAGGATCAAGGGCTTATTAGCAACAAGCTAAAGAGGATTAAACGGCAATCATCACCAATGCTGGGCCCCCAACATTCTTCTTTACATTTTCATCAGCTCACCTGCATTGGCCTGAATTACATACACTCCTTAAAAGTGATAATACTGATCCGACAGTTGAAAACCGCCGTGAGAATGTGATTAACAACCCCCACATCACTGACTGGTTTTTCACTCAGCGGTTGGAAAGCTTTATTAAGCATTGGCTATATCATTTGTTAGATGCCAAGTGGCACTGGTATAGATTTGAATACCAGGCCAGAGGTAGCATTCACCGTCATGGTGTTGCTAAACTAATACATAGATTTAGCCAGGGCTAAAAGCGAAGCTCCAATTTTAATAAATTTATAATTTAAATCGAACAATAAACTTTTAATCCACAAATCATTTAACTTAAGGGCACATTCATGTGACTTTTGAGGGAAAGGCTAAGTTATTTTAGAATGAAACATCTTACATCGAATTGATAACCTTATATG